AAATAGGTGGGAGAAGATCATGCAGTCAATGAACTCCACAGCCAGGACGTGAGCTCCTCTGACTCTAAAACCCACGCTCTTCCTATAAAATCCTGTTATTGTTTCACAAATAATGTCTCAGTCAGTCATAGATTGTAATTATGAGCAGCATTTAACAGAACTTAGTGAATGAAATGACACCTATTATAAATCTGTGTGAGGGGTATGTGGGTGGCTCAGTCAGTTAAGCACTGACTTCAGCTCAGGTCATGGTCTCACAGTTCATGGGTTTGAACCCTGAGTCAGGCTCTGTGCTGACAGCTCAGGGCCTGGAGCCTGCTTCGGATTCTGTGTCTCCCTGTCTCTCTGCCCCTCCCCTGCTTGCACTCTGTCTCTCTCTCAAAAAATAAACATTAAAACTTAAAAAAAAAAGAAAGAAAGAAAAGACCCAAAGTCACCAAAACACCAATAAAGGTGAAGTTAAAAAAAGAAGAAGGTGGGGCGCGCCTGGGTGGCTCAGTCGGTTAAGCATCTGACTTCGGCTCAGGTCATGATCTCACGGTTCATGGGTTTGAGTCCCACATCCTACGTTGGGCTCTATGCTGACAGCTAGCTCAGAGCCTGGAGCCTGTTTCAGATTCTGTATCTTCCTCTCTCTCTCTCTCTCTGACCCTCCCCCAGCTCATGCTGTCTCTCACTCTCTCTCTCTCAGAAATAAATAAAAAACATAAAAAAAGATTTTTTAAAAAAAGGAGGAGGAGGAGGAGGTGGAGGAGGCAGCTAAGCCAATAGGACAGCAGAGGGAAAAAATTAAACTATAAGCTTGTTGTGAATAATAGAATTTTATTACTTAAAAATCAGGAACGATCCTGCTATAAAGTAGATGCTGTAATGTGACGTACAAGGGCCTGCAAAGGATCCTTCTGCAATAATAATGCTGCCTGGTGCTATCTGCACAATGCTGGTTAACACTTTGTATTACGTGATCCAAATTTGCTCTGCACATTGTTGAAAGGTTGTGCACAAGAATGAAAGCAACACAGGGTGCCTGGGTGGCTTAGTCAGTTAAGTGTCTGACTTTCACTTGGGTCATGATCTCGCGGTTCGTGGGTTCGAGCCCTGCGTCGGGCTCTGTGCTGACTGCCAGCTCAGAGCCTGGAGCCTGTTTCAGTCTGTGACTCCCTCTCTCTCTGACCCTCCCCTGCTCACGCTGTCTCTCTCTCTCTCCTAAAAATAAATTTAAAAAAACAAAACAAAAAAAAAGAATGAAAGCAACAGAAATGTGAAGACACTGAGAAAGACATCTCAGTTGTTTAACACATTCTTTGGGGTCATTTAGCCTATTGATAAACAAGCAAAGAGAGAACTATCTTTTAAAAGTTGGTTGATCCTCATCCAAATGATGTGTCCACCTCTAAGTGTACGGGGGGGAAATGCTGCAAATAAAACTTTTTTCATTATTAGGAAGAATTTTAAAATATTAGTTAACTACCCACAATGGCTATGAATCACAATGTTAGATATCTTTATAAGTAGTGTACTCCAAAGTCTTTAGATTTTTGCACAAATAACCAAAAATGCTCCTCTTGTGATGAAAAGTCAAGAGATGACAAAGTTTAATCTCTGTCCCAGTCTCTCAACACCTGTGACTTCACCTCACTGAATACTACTATTGGGGGTAATATCCCACAGGAAAGGGTTCTTTTATTTAAATTTCTTCCTCTAAAGATGACTTATGATTGTTTGCTGGAAATACATCTCGGGAGAAACCACACCTTGTAAAGCAGATTATGAGGCAGATGAGAAGCAGAACCACATCTAAGTGTCTACTAAGGGGTTCGAGTAAGGGAGGCTACGGATGTGACATTCAGTTTCTTTCTGTATTTGATCAATGCTTTAGTTCTGCTAAATAGCGTTACATAAAATTTTAATTCTAGTCATATATAGCTTTGTATTTATGTGAGATTTTTATGTGTCTATTTCTTATATCTTTAAGTAGTAAAACGGAAGACCTTACTTTAGCAAAGAATAATAGAAGTATGCAACATAATTTAAACTAGTCCACCAAACATAACCAAGCTATCTTTTCCTTACCTTTTAATATTATGCTATACTCAGACAAACACGGAAAACGACCAAACTTAAGTTTATGAATTATACTTAAGGAAGTATTACAGCCTCTAGGAGATAAACGTTCTATACGCTCTATGATAAAATTAAGATCTATAGTTTCTTCGTACAGATGTTTCTATTTTAATAAACACAATTTTCTTATTATTTATAATTTCACTGCAACCTGTATGAAAGGAGGCTCTAATATGGGTTTTTTTTCCCTTCTTCACTGTATTTACATTTTCTCCAAGCCCATTTGTTGAATAATTTATCATTTCCCCGTTAGTTTGTGGTACTTTCTATGTTTTTGTCATTTATTTGTTTTACTATGCCACTTTGGCATAAGGATTATTTTGAGCAGAAGGCAACTGAGAAGAAGCAGATATAAGAACTCCTCCTATTAGCCTAAAAGTAGGACATAAATTTGGAAATGTGTCCCCAGTGCCCTCTCTACAAGGAAGGACAGAAGTTCATTACTCTTTATCAGGTAAGAGATGACTCCAGAGAAGTCTGTAGCAAACTTTACTAGGTAACCCTATCTTCCATGAGTTCGCTCATACGTTTACCTTCCCATGATTTGCTACCCTAGAGACTCATAGTCCCTTTTCTTAGTCTTTTCAACTCTCTAAAAATTTATTGTTCTTTTGTTAAGACACTATATAAGCCCAAATCTAACAAACCCTTTCAGTTTCATGTAGCTCTGAGCTCCCACAGGTATCCTGTGCACAATGCACAGGATAACAAACTTGTTTATCTCTTAATCTGTCTTTTGTCAGTCTAATTTACCGTCCCAGTCCCCAGTGAGCCTAAGCCGCACAGGGGGGAAAAAAAAGAGTTAACTCTTTTCTTCTGTACAGCCTCCAGATTAATTTTAAAAAATAAAATACAGAAACCAGTTGGGATTATGCCTAGAATTTATGAACTCCAAGACAGTGTTTAGAAAAAACATCCATCTTTACAATACTTAGCCTTCACAATTAGGAGCATGAAATGAACACCTATTCCCTCAATGACTATCTTCCTTTATGTTAGTCAATAAGTTTTATAGCTTTGTTATTAGTTATTTTTAATTTTTTAAATGTTTATTTCTGAGAGAGAGAGAGAGACTGCATGAGCAGGGGAGGGTTAGAAAGAAAGGGAGATATAGAATCTGAAACAGGCTCCAGGCTCTGAGCTGGCTGTCAGCACAGAGCCCGATGTGGGGCTCGAACCCATGAACTGTGAGATCATGACCTGAGCCGAAGTGGGACACTTAACCAACTGAGCCACCCAGGCACCTCAGTATTTTTAAATTTTTTACTGGTTATTTTTTAAATCACATTTTTTGTTTTTTGCTCGGATTGAGAACTGTGTCCCATTCATTTTTCTAACTAATTACTTTCGATATAGTACAAATTAATTCCATGTTACTTTCATATCTAGCTGCCTTCTTGAATTTACTGATTCCCGTTGATTCTTATGAAGAAGTAGATTATTCATCTAAGGTGCCAGAAAATTGTGTGTGTGTTGTGCAAGGGGTGGGTGGTACAGAGGATTCATGTTAGATACTCACATATCTGGTATATTTTGGCATTACAGAAGGATTAAAAAGTTAAAGTTTAAAAAAGTAAATAATAAAAACATGAGAAAATACACAGCTAAATATTTAAATGATTTGGGGATGGATAAAGAGTGTCTACAGATAAAAGAAATGGGGAAAAATTACCAAAGATGCAGAAACAGCTATATTAAATTCAAGATTTCCAAATGGCCACAGAAAACTAGTAGACAAATATTAAAATGGGAAATACATTTCAAACAGATGACAGTTATATGGGTAAAACTCCTAACCATATAAAAAGCTCTTATAAATTAAGAGATAAACTAATTAACACCCAATAAGAAACATGGGCAGAAGAAATAAAAGGACTGAACAGACAATTCATAGAAGATAATCAAACACCAATTAACATATAAAACATTCAACTGCACAGCTAATTCAAATTAAAATGACAGATAGCATTTTGTAGCCTGTGCAACTGCAAAGATTTGGTGCCTTGAGACAAAACGTAAGCACATCTGACAGGAGTATGGAGCGTTATAACCTTTCTGGAAAACAAGTTGGTATTCTGAACTAAAAGTTTATAAGAATCATAGAATGAATATATTTGTGAAATTCTCAGGGATTAGGCAAAAGTTCTCATATAAAGATAATCATTATATTATTATTTGTGCTAGCAACTGGAAGCAACTGCAATGCCCCCCAATAAAGGAATAGTTAGTTTGTGGTACTCATCCATATAATAGACTATTAGTGCAGCCATTTAAAATATATTTCTGAAGAACAGCTAATGGCTTTGGCAAAATAAGTTAATGATAGGATATCAAGTGAAAAAAAATCAGAACAAAATTACATATATCATGATACCAATTTTATAAATATGTAACATATATATGCATAGGAAAAGTGGAAGAAAATACAGCAAAATGTTAACAATGGTTACATTAGGGGAAAAAGATTATGGACAGTTTGTATTTCATTCTTTACACTTTGAGGAATTTTTCAGATACACTAGAGTGTATCTGAATATATATTGTTACTTGTCAAAAGAAAGGCACACAAAACGTTATTTTACAGCTATAGCTAACAGGTATTTTTTAAAATACAGCATCAAGAGATGCGAGAAAATTTTCAGAATAAAGCAAAACAAGCTTTTTTTTACATCAATAGACTTCTCTTCCACAAGAATAACAGAAGATAACCACTTTTTAAAACTTTTATGTGAATTTTTTCTTCACATAACCAGCATCGTTAAGAAACTTTTAAAGGTAGTAATATCTAACTATTAAATATTGATCGCCAATACAACCTAAAAAGAAACCCTCATGAATCGACTACAGGGAAAGGGTGATTGGAATCCAGTGCTTACCTTTTTCACTTACACTCTCACTTTCAATCTCCACATCATCACAACTGGTGTATTCAGGCGTGGAAGCTAATTCCTCCTCTGAACTGCTCAATGAAACCTGGCGCATTTTACCTCCTTTCTTTGATTTATGAGGCTTTGGTGGTGGAGGCCTCACGGACTCCGACTGGTCGGAACTGAGTGAATCATTCCTTAACATGGTTTCCATCTTCTCCCGTTTTGTTTTCCTCACCGCAGAGCTAGGATCTAAGTGGTGCTGTTTCCGCAGTGAGTCGGCACGTCTCATGTCCGGTCTGTCGATGGGTATGGGGCTCCTCCGTGGGGTGGGAGGACTATGGTTTGTGGTCCTTTGTGGATAAGAACTTGGTCCCTGAGCCTCTCGAGTTCTTTCCATTGAGTAAGACCGCTGATTCTCCATGGCAGCTCTGCGTTCAGAGATAGATCTTTGCCTTGATGGTCGCTCCATCCTCAGCATAGAAATCCTAGAATCTTCCAGTTCAGCATTTGCCAAAGAGACATCACTATGCCTTCTCTCGTGCCTCGCTCGGGACACTTCAGCATGAATACGCATTTGTTCTTCATAGGGCTGCGGCTTCACTGGATACCGGGCCAGGTTCGGATCGCTTCGATAGCGCGCCTGGTACTCCTCCTCCCTCCTTTGTCTTTCATACTCATCTCTGCTCTCCACATCCTCATCATCTACAATATATTCTTTGGAATGCCTATGGCTTCTCCTGTTGGAGTCCCTGTAATTTATAGGCTCAGACTCTTCATAAAACTGAGGTTCACGCTGAGACCTCCTATCAGCATAATCTGATGGAGATCTCGGCATGGCGTTATCTGAAGTAGCATATTGTGAATATTCTTCTCTTTCTTCTCTTTGGTCGTATCTTCTGTTCTGATCTCTGGATACTGATGGACTTCGTGTCCTAAGGAACCAAAGGAAAAGACTGATGAGAAGAGCAACGTCTCAGCAATTCAACGTTTTCTTGATTCACTGGTGGTTTGACGAATTATATTCAAATACTTCTACTTTAAAAAAAAGTCTTCGTACAGTCATGCTACAATAAAAGTTTTACTAATATTCATTTTATTCAGTTCAAATAGGAAATTTTAAAGGTACTTTTGATATGGTTCTTTAATGCCTGCATACTCCATACATATGGAATATCCTTATGCCCTGAAATAGGATACAAAATACTCTCTTGCTGCAAAATGGACTTAACTGTGCTTTCCCTACTCGGCTCAATACACTTCGACCATCTCCCAATTGCTATTCAGAGGCTTTGAAAAATTCCACCTGACATTTTTTCTGTTCTTGATACCTGGATATAAAGTCACTTGAAAACATAATGAAGCCAAACTGATTTGGCTCAAGAGCTCAATACTTTCTGGCTAAAAACTAAATGTTGGCTCTTAAAAGTCATTTTTCATTCAGCAGCTACCTATATCACTCCGAGTATTGGTTCATCTAAATCTTTATCATTGCATTATATCTCCAGCCCTTCTTTACTGCTCTAACTTAAGATAAACAATTAAAATTTTTTTGACAATAATGACTTACTCATCACAAAAAGAAAAAAAATGTAGAACTCAGAGAACTGCTCTTTTTATTCCATCCTCACTGAGATTAAGGCCAGCTCAATGAGACTTCTCTTTGTCTTCACATCTGACCCCTCATACTTTCTCAGAGCCTCAGAAGAAGAGACTGTGTATTAAGTTCTCAACCTGCCCCTCTAACAGTAGTACAACATAGTGGGCCTTATAATCATACAGAATACTCTTTGTCAACCAAATATGCACACCGTCCTCTTCCCTGGTACGAACCCAGATAAACGCCAACCGCTAGCCATGAAAAGCAGGGGAGAGATGACAGAAGTTCAGAATAATGATTACAGAGATTTTTGCCAGGACATATGAACAGGAGACAATAAAAAAGTAGGGTCATTTGAAGTTAAAGATGGCCAACATTGGATAGCTCAGTTTCTTACACAATTTCTTACCCAATTTTTTTTTTTTTTTGGCCTAAAAGCAAGAGCAGAGAAAGGACCCACGTGGAATGACCCAACCCAGAAACAGCCTCCTGCTCTTCTATAGTTTCCTGTGTCATCAAATCTCTTTCCCCCGTATCGGAAATGTAGCCTGACAATGTACTGAGTAAGATTTGTTAGTAAAAACCAAAGGCACTCTAGGTTTTCCAGGTAGTAAGGGCTTTAATGCAGTAATCAAAAGGTACACAACTGAACCAGCAAAGTGGTGAAGGCCAGAGAAGTTAATGCTGCTGTTCTTAGCCTGAAGAACAAAAGACAAGGGTTCTCAAAATGTTCATTAGGAAGCTGCTGTTAATCTCAAGAATCTTCGGGGAATTTGTCATCAATTATTTCAGCTGCCTACAGAATTAGGGTGGTCAATTAACAGGAGCTTGCCAGGAGCTACGGAGACTTTCACATCTGCCCGTGTGCCAGCCAACAATGGCTGCTTGACAATAATGGCCTCTGTAACTGGTCCACCTTTCAATGTCACACAAAGGCATAGCCAGGGTAACTCTATGCCAGAACCATAAAGGATAAAGTATTACAGAAAATGAAGGAACTGGTCTGTTTTCCTAAATATTTAGGCAGTGGACATGATTTTTTTTTTTTTTTTTTTACATTTATAGCTTACCTTTACACATAAAACATTTAGGACTTAAATCATTTCGGTTTTGCTACATAAAAACATAGACTCCTATAGTTTAAAATATACAATCAGGGGTGCCTGGGTGGCTCCGTCTGTTGAGCATCCAACTTCGGCTCAGGTCATGATCTCACCACTCCTGAGTTCGAACACCACATTGGTCTCTGTGCTGACATCTCAGAGCCTGGAGTCTACTTCAGATTCTCTGCCTCTTCTTTCTGCCCCTCCCCCACTCACCCTCTGTCTCTCCCTCCCTCTCTCTCTCTCTCAAAAATTAAACATTAAAAAAATTAAAAAGTAAAATACATAATCAAAACAGAGCACTCAAAATAAATACCATGGTATAAACCTACACAATATTCTGTATATGTGTGCCCATTATACATATTTCCTTTTATTTTTTTGTCATTTTTTTATACATATGACTAAAGAAATAAAATAATTTAGCGTGGTGGCAATATATCATAAAAAGTACATCATAAAGAGATCTGGGTTTCTTAGTTCTGTTTTTGTTATTAATCAGTTATTTGAAACTATATGGCCATTTAACCTTTGAGAGTTTGTATTTTAGACTATATACATTAACTCATATATCATTTTAAAAAATATGTATTAGGTAAAAACTAAATGCCACGTACTATATTAGAGATTAGGAATAAAGAAATGATAAGAAATAATCCTTGATTTTTGAGAAGGTGCATGATTCTAAAACTCTTCCATTTCTTAGGGACTATGATCTTATAATACTGATACCAAAACTTCATCAAGTTAATATGCCTAAATGAAAGCTTTAGGGATAGCAAAAAATAATGATACTTCTGTCAAAATGTAATTAGCTGTGCCAATTTTCAACGTACTCACATCTCACTAACTGGCTACTTATATCTACTTACTATATTAAAAAAAACTAACTGAGATGAATGAGAATTTCTCTAAGGAACTCTAAAGAATAAGCAATTAAATAAGTTCTTCTGAACTAACCATATAAACTCCATTAGATGCAGACTTTACGTTAAAATTCAAATACATTTGGGGGTGTTACTTTTTTCTGATCTAAGTTAATAAATAGATTTGCCTCTAAAAATATTTTTTTTCATAAACCAAATTTAATATCAAGTAATTGATACTGTTTCAAGAGTAAGATTCTAGTGATACATAAGAAAATGATTGTTTCAACTTCACTTATTTTTAAAACTTTTTTATTTGAGTATAGTTGACACACAATGTTACATAAGTTTCAGGCATACAACATAGTGATTCAACTTCTCTATTTGTTATGCTGTGCTCACCACAAATGTAGCTACCATCTGTTACCATACAAGGCTATTACAATATCATTGACTACATTCCCTATGCTGTGCTTTTTATTCCTGTGACTTTTTCATTCTGTAACTAGAAGCCTGCATCTCCCACTCCCTTTCACCCACTTTGACCATCCCCTCATTGTTTGAATAAGTTCTAATTTCCCTAAAATCCAGTGTGGATTGAATAGGAAACTTTATACCTAGCTATAAGTATATAAATTTTGAAAGCAGTATTACCTCATTACCATAGACCAGTAAGATCAGGTCGTCACTTAGGGCTCACTTTTGTGCCTTTGTATCCTCCCAGGATATACTGCTACATTCTACTTACAATTACCTAATTAGCATTCTGTATTATCCATTAGACTTTAAATTTTGAAACAGGAAGGACTGTGTCTATTATACCTTTGTAGTTCCACTATGAATTCATTTGCTCAACAAATACTTATTCAGGGCTTAATGTGTGCCAGCTATGATTCCAGTTGCTGGAAATACAATAAAGAGACACATAAGGTTCCTGTCCTAAATAAGCTTTCTTTTTAGTAGGGGAGACAAACAATAAGCAAATAAATTAGGCAATAAATAAACAAAGGCAATTCCATACACTGGTAAGTACTACAAAAGAACACTGAAACAGGGTGAATTTATGAAACATATCTGAGGGGAGCTCCTTTTGGTAAGAAAGACCTTCCTGAAAGGGTACATCTGAACTAAGACCCGACTAATGTAGGTACACTGAGTGTAACCCATTTATATAAAATATACAACTTTCTGGAAATGTTTTGGGTGTTCTTACTAAGTTGTTACCACTTTGGTTGTTGTTGTTTACTGAAAACTGTTTTACAAAATATAAAATCTACCAAATTCTTAAGTGTTGTTTTAATAAATCAAGGCGTTTCCAAGGAAGTTCATCCCTAGAACCTATCAAAAATCAGCCCAGCAAGCCTTTTCATATACCCCTCCTTTCAAAAGATTTCATGCTCTCAAACTGAGTAAATTCCAATTCCACATTATACTTGATCCCAGTTGGAAGTCAAATGAAAAATGGCCAGATTAAATCAAAATGAATGGATATTGGCTTTATAATATTATTTAAAAAATACTTACATGCCTTAAGATTGTTAATACAAATTAATCTCTAAAATGTGGGACTTTAGGCCATAAGAAAGTAATAAAAAATGAGAAAACGTTAACAGGGAAATTAAATATTTTGAAGGCGGTTCAACCTAACGATGGTCTTCCTCCTTACTATACTTCTTCCCTAGGTAATCTTATCCATTTCTATCCAGGAATGTAAATAATACTCTAAAATATTAAGGTTCATGAGGAACAGCAACTAGGTCTATGGAAGCTTGCACATAATAGAAGCTCGATAAACATCTGCTGAATTAAAGAACTGATGAATTCTCCCTTAGATCCTTAGATTATCTCCACTTTTCATGATATGCTCTTTTCTTCTATACTCAAACCCACCAATTTGCCAAAATAGTCTATTTCTTATCTTTTCCCTACTGCTGTCTTGGCAGTAATAACACTCTAAGTGAACGGAGGGAACTACTTTTCTTAGTAGTGTATGTTGTATGTTAATTTGGCTTTTGCTGGCCTTCAAAATCCAACAATTGTTTACAAAATAATTTCTTTGGAAAAATGTATTTTGAGTGTACAATTAAACATTTAAAACAAAACCTCTTTATAAGTTAGGGATTTCTAGTAATATCTTTTAACATCACACAGTTATTATAGGCTGGGGGCAGGGGGGAGAAAACGCATCATTCCCTGAGGAATGAACATAAATTTTTGAAAGTAAGTAGGCTATAAATAAAGTGAATATAGTGAGCCTTTACAATAGAAAAAACATATCCTATTTTATTGCTAAATAAGAATATGTATCATAGAATTCAGCTCTAAAAGAAAGCCTATTATTAATTAACACTTAGCAAGTCATCTAA